TTTTAAATGTTAATGACTATAATATTTTATTCATTACAATACCCCTGAATTTAATCATGACATGGTCTGGGGGAAAAATACAAATATGGACTAGTATGATAGATAAAGATATCAAGGTTCTATTGATTCCTGGACTTCATCCATTATTCCCAACATATAACAGCCTATACCTGGGAAAAACACACACACACACACACACACACACACACACACACACACACACAGGAAACACACCCACACAAGCACAAACATGTACAAGAAATGAAGATGTGATTAAGGTTTTCAGTGGTTTTAGTTTCTGGTTTTGTGTTGCATTTTTGTTTTTGTGCAATACTGGAGATTGAACATGACGCTTGTCTATCCATGAAAGACAACTGTTCTACCACTGAGTTACATCCCTATTCCAAGGTATGACATTTTAAAATAGTTTCTGCCACAATATGTGTAAGAAATAATCATTTCCACATTGTAACAGTAGATGTATTGCCACAATTCATCAAGTTGTCTTTTCTTCTTAACTCTAATCCTAGAGACAATTCTAACTAACCAATATTGTGAAATAACAATGAGAAGAAGGTAAAAATTAATGCTGTTGTGTCAGGGCCAGGGTACTCTTCTTTGGTTTAGCAATCACTGCTATATCATCAAATGCTTCCCAAAATAACAGAACCCCGTGCCCATAGTTTTAATAGATCATGCTTTCCTATGGTTGTCACAGGTATAAAATAATCAAACTAACAAATTGCTGTTGAAGGTGAAACTGTGTTATTAATCTTGCAATTTGAGGACAAATGAAAAGAAAATGCAAGAATAAGTAATAAAAGTTAGAAACTTAATCATAGAATACCATGCTTTCTGTATTATGAGTAATATATTATCAAATGCTATATATATTAATGTTAGCTTGAAATGTTAGAAAAATGTATTTGTAGGTACAAATATAACAGAAAGTTCTTTCTTTGTGTATTCTTTACTATCCTATAAGTCATTAGTTATCCCTAAATTCTATTTGCCTATGCCACTTTTTCCTGGGATCTATTGAATCTAGCCTGTGTGGAATTTATTCCAATACTTTCTACGTAGGGCAAGAAAGTGCCTCAATTTGCCATTTTAGAGAAGACCCAAAAGAAAGATGCATGACTACCTAAATACCCTGAGCCTCACCTGCACTCTCTTTGCTCTCCCCCACCCACAGAAACCACTGAGTCTCCCTTTGAGGTGTCAGTGCTGTGCAGGATTCTCATTGAGCTGCCACATGTCCCTGGTGAGAACTTTTGGGCCCCCAGCTGCCCAGTTCTCGATACACAGTCTGTCCATTCACTATAACCCTGAGCTGCATGGAGATGCTGTGTGCTTATTGGAGACATTATCTACTGGTTTGGTTTTACTCTACTAGTTTCTCTAATACATGGTGAGTTTCAAAACCTATGGCATTACCATCTGCCTAATTCTATCATATCTGACCTTTGATACTATTGGAATAACAAAAAATACTTCATGAAGAAATAGAAATACCAAGTACATCAAAAAAAAGTGGATCCCAGCTTTTTTTGACCAGGATATTTTTTTTTTTAGCTAATTCCTTTTTAAAATTTATAAATGAATATCTGAAGTACATTGTTAATGTTTACACTATGATGCTTGAACTGACTTTAAAACTGTATGACCATGTCCTCCATTAACAATAAGCACACACAACAATCAGGTCTTGGTTGCTAAGCTCCATTCTCCAACTGGCAGGGGGAGGGGATGAGGGCTGTCTAGAGAAATGGCTGGTTCTAGATCAAAGGCAGAGAAAGTATAATTACAAACCAAGATTATTGTATAGAATCAGAAATTATGAGAATTTTCAAAACAAGGGAGTGAAGATATGATTAAAATGAAAAACAGAAACAACCCAACAAAAAACCTTTCACCTACAGAAACAATTAGAACAAGCAAAAAGAATATTATACCTATGCACTGTAGATAGTAATCCCAGATAGCATACAGGGTGATCCTTCGAATGAATGCAAAGAGACAGTACTTTTTACTATAAGATTAACTCATTGAAATATCTAGTATAATAATTTGTGCAAATGCATCATAGGCTGACATACAAGATACCAGATGATGACAGAGAAAACGCATGCAATTCTCTTAACATGGTAGGAGCTTGATGGCTCTCAATGACTCTTTTTTGAATTAATTTTTATTTAAATTAAAAACAATCTTATTTTACATGCAAATCCCAGTTCCCTGTTCTCCCATTTCCCTCCACCAACTCCCCCATCCCACCCACAATCCACTCCTCAGGGAGGGTGAGGTCTCCCATGGGGGAATCATCAAAGTCTGTCACATCATTTGGGGCAGGACCTAGGTCCTCCCCTGTGTATCTACATTGAGAGGGTATTCTTCCATAGGGGGTGGGCTCCCAAAGCCCATTCCTGCACTAGGGATAAATACTGGTTCCACTGTCAGAGGCCCCATAGACTGCCCAAGTCCCCCAAATGACACCCACATTCACGGAGCCTGGTTTGGTCCTATGCTGGTTCCCCAGCTGTCAGACTGGGGTCCTTGAGTTCCCACTTGTTCAGGTCAGGTGCTTCTCTGGATTTCCCCAGCATGCTTTTGACCCCTTTGCTCATCACTCCTCCCTCTCTACAACTGGATTCCAGGAGTTTGCCTCAGTGCTTAGCTGTGAATCTTTGCTTCTGCTTCCATCAGCTATTGGATGAAGGCTCTAGGATGGCACATAAGGTAGTCATCAATCTCATTATAGGGGAAGGGCATTTAAAGTAGCCTCTCCAGTATTGCTTAGATTATTAGTTGGGGTCATCCTTGCGGATTCCTGGAGATTTCCCTAGGGCCAGCTTTCTTGTTAAGCCCATAATGACTCCCTCTATCAAGTTATCTCTTTCCTTGCTCCTCTGTTCTTCCCCCAACTTGACCTTCTAGATTCCTCATGTTCTCCTCCCCCACTCCCTCCACCCCTTCTCCACTCCTCTTTCTCCTACCCACCCCCATCCGTGCTCCCAATTCACTCAGAAGATCTTGTCCCTTTCCCCTTCTCAGGGCTCCATGTATGTCTTTCTTAGGGTCAAATGGCAGACACACATTTAAGAAATTGCTTAACATCCTTAGCCATCAGGGAAATACAAATCAAAACAACTCTGAGATACCATCTTACATCTGTCAGAATGACTAGAATCAAAAACTCCAATGACAGCTTATGCTGGAGAGGACGTGGAGAAAGTGGAACATTCATCCATTGCTGAGGGGAGTGCAAACTTGTACAGCCACTTTGGAAATCAGTATGGAGGTTTCTCAGGAAAATGAGGATCAGTCTACCTCAGGATCCAGCAATTCCACTCTTGAGCATATACCCAAAGGATGCACATTCATACCACAAGGATATCTGTTCTACTATGTTCATAGCAGCATTAATTTGTAATGGCCAGAACCTGGAAGCAAACTAGATGCCCCTCAACTAAAGAATGGATAAAGAAAATGTGGTACATTTACAAAATGGAGTACTACTCAGTGGAAAAAACAATGAAATCTTGAAATTCGAAGACAAATGGGTTAAACTAGAAGAAACCAATCTGAGTGAGGTAACCCAGAAACAGAAAGACAAACATGGTATGTACTCACTCATAAGTGGATATTAGACATAGAGCAAAGGATAACTAAAGAAGCTAAGAAACAAGGAGGACTCTCAACAACTCTTAATTTCTTTTACGTAATACTAAATTTGAGGGTTTTCTGGGAAGCTAATGGCAGAACTGTGACACAAGTAAATCCTACCTTACAGTAACATAATGATCACAGGAGAGAATACCAAGTTTCAAAGGTGTTGCAGTAATATTTACCTCTGTTTTATTGACACTGGATCCGTTCAGTAGCATAAAGCTTAATTAAACTTAAGTGCCAATATTACTGGAGCAATTCAGTGGCATTGGTGTGTCTGTTCCCATTAAAAACTTTGAACTCAACATTTGTCAAATGACATGTGTTTTTGGCAAGATAACAGAATTCAAGTTCCCTTGACATCTCCCTCTCAGTTTTTAAACTCTGAGGGCATCAATGTCAAAAGATTATTAAGTATTGGTTAAGTCTGAAAATGATTCCCTTTCAAAGGATCACAGGATAGTTTTACAACGCTAAGTGCCAGCCAGCCTTGAAAGTATGAGTTCCAACAATAATTTTGTTAGTGAAAGGCAGCAAGCATTCTGAATGAGAATGCCTCTTCTATGTGATGAATGTTGAAAATGCCCCATCTCTCTGAAGCAATATTTAGAGGTGATATCCAGAGAAGGCAATGAGCTCCTATGGTTACTGCCCTCATGAGTGAGACCAGTGTCCTGACCACCTAGCAGCAGCACACTCCAGAATCCTGAGCGAGGATTGCCCAGCTCTAGCAAGATGAAAAGTACATTTCTCTTTCTGAAGCCACCCACTCTACTGGATTCTGTTGCACTCAGACTAAAGCAAGCATCTTGATTAAAAGGCAAGAATTGCCTTGGATTGGAGCTTAAGTTTTCCTAAAAAAATGAATGGTCTTTCCCTTTGAGGATCAATGCTGTGCTGTTAAACTCTCGGGTATTTCCATTGGAAGCAAACTGAGATCACACATGAACGGCACTCATTCATGAAATGAAATGCTTCGTGAATATGCCAACTTAGAAAACTTCTCACAAGCACAGAAAAGTTCACAAACACCTTTAAGAGGGTGAAATACAAAGGACTTTTAATGATAAATTTATCTAACTCCAAACAATCTTATTTTTAAAAGAAGAAAAAAGTGTTTGTTTTGTTTGTAAAAGTAAGTTAAATTATTTCATTCATTTCCTTGCTGGGTAGTCTGTGTATAGTTTTCTCTCTTCCAAAATACTCAACAACCTGGGAGAGAATGCATTAAACCCACTGCAAACACTGCCTCCTGTCAACTGCACAGTGTGCAGCTATGCTGAAGGCCAGTACTTCTGTTTACCCTTGATATACAGAGGTGGGATGCTTACCGAGCTGGGACTGGAGTGCCGCCGAACTTTAGGGGACTCTTTGCCAGCAGAGGAGGACTTAAAGTTAATGCAAGCATTGTTCTCAGAATGCACCCTTTTCACTTGACTGGCCGGCTTCTCAAATGGGTCAAAAGTGCTCTGTGTTCTCTGAACTCTGACTTTTTTATCTTCAGGGATTGTGTCCAGGTGCTTGATCACCGAATCCATCCCCTGGCAGTTCCGTGTGGACATCTTTGTGACACATATCTGGAAAACAAAAGAAATGACTTGAGGACTCTTCACTGAAACATCTTGATCACTAAATATATTAATTTTTCCAGTGCTCATTTCAATTTCAGGAAATACCCCCAAAAGCCCACTTTTATGATCTATACTCACAATACATAAAATTCCTTATAACTATTCTGTGTACACTCATGGCTTACACTTTAAAAAGAAAAGAAAATTTATCTTTCTAAAACAAGCAAACAAACAAAAACACCTTATGGCACAGGCCATGTATCGTACAAGGTTCTGGACTCTGTCTCAGGTTTTATCATCTGCCCGCAAGTGGATATTTCTAAATCATCAAAAAAGTGGATAAGTCAACTTCATTTTTAAAAAAGAAAGAAAACACAACAAAGCACAAGGTTGGCTGGGATAGGATGGGCACCTACGGACAGAAGCTAAAGAGGGGAAAGGGTTTGTTTCAAAGGTTTACGTCTGAAGATACAAGCTGAAAATCTGCCCCATCTTGACTTAATATCAAGTGGAGTAAAAACCGTAGTTAGGTGATAAATAATGAGGATGATTGTGGAATTTCCTTTTAAATTTCAAAGCTAAGAAATTACACTTTCCGGGTGACACCAGGTGACACTGTTTACCCACTGTTTGCCTTTTGGTACTGACCTGTTTCCCTCCCAGCACCCACAGTCACTCCGTTCTCCTATTTCACTGTAGTCTGTTGTGTTTTGTTTCCATTTACCACACTGCCTTCCAACTTCCATCTTCCCTATCCTCTGGGAATACTGCACTCCTCTACTGGAAACCTTTAGCTTCCCTGTGAGGATCTTGGGTGTCCCCCAAAGGCCATGTGTGGAGGACTTTGTGGTCCCCACCCTGAACATTACTACCAGGTGGTGAAGCACTAGTAGGTGAGGCCCAGCAGAAGGAAGTTAGGCCATTGGTTTTGTGTATTTCCTTACGTTCTGGACTCTCCACCATCCTCTCCTTCCCCTCCATTCTCTCCCGCTCTCCCTCCCACCCCGATCCTCTCTCTAGCTTGCTCTTGCTCCCAGTATGATTTTCAGCAACCACAACATTAGCATCTTAACATAGACAGAAATACAGCTGTAGGCTTCAATGTTTCAGGGTGCGTATAAGCACAGCGGGGGAAAAAATTCAAGCAAAATATTGGATATCTGCAGACACAAGTAAAGCTAATATTAAATTTATAAACTTTTGTTTTAACTATGTAATAAGTATGGAAAATTATATGATAAGAAACAACAATGTGTTAAATATGTGTATAAAATAAACCAAGTATTTAAAGCTTCAGGAAACAAAAATTAACTTAATATTTACCATCCACCCTGTCTCAAGAATTTGCCACCATCGTTAAGTATAGGATGAATTATAATTAAAGCAAGTCAGACAGATCCTTGGTAGCACTCCTCAGAGGTGGTGAGAACATTTGGGAGTTTAGGCTTTCTTGTTGTTTATGTTCCTATGTACATGTATATGTGTCTGTCTGACTCTGTGTGTGCGTGCGTGGGGGGGGGGGGGAATGTGATTTTTGTAGTATCCTGAGAGACCAGAAGAGAATGCTGAGTCACAAATGGTTGAAAACCATCAACACAGACGCTGAGAACCACACATGAGGCCTCCAGAAGAGCAGCAAGTGATCTTAACTGCTGAGCCATTTCTCCAGCTCTGAAGATATATATTTTTTAAAGATTCGATATAGAATTGTTTTTTTGTTCTATTTTCAATGTATTTTGGGTTTGTTGCTTGTGTTTGGGGGTGGGGGGGGGGGGGGGGTAATGTGATTTTTGTAGTATCCTGAGAGACCAGAAGAGAATGCTGAGTCACAAATGGTTGAAAACCATCAACACAGACGCTGAGAACCACACATGAGGCCTCCAGAAGAGCAGCAAGTGATCTTAACTGCTGAGCCATTTCTCCAGCTCTGAAGATATATATTTTTTAAAGATTCGATATAGAATCTTCTACACACAGTCAAAATTGATAATATATTATAAGTATGCTAAATGTAATCAATATTTTCAAGGATTTGTGTTCTTTTTAAAAATCGGAAGGCAATAAATTAGAAAATATCACTATCACTGAGTCAATCAACAGACACATGAGCCTGAAGTATCACTAAACCCTAAAGGACAAGAGGTTCAAAGACAAATTCATAAATATATAATACTAATATACATATACATATAGAATACATATACATAGATATATGTATATGAGCAAATGAGCATGGAAAAGACAAAATATAAAGACATAACATTGGAATCAATCTTAAGATACTTTAGATACTTAGGAGAGTGGATGGAATCCAAAATAAGCATAAAATTAAATAATAATTCAATATCAAATGGAAACAAAATAGAAAATAATGAAAATTAATAAAAATTAAAACACAAAGTTAAAGATTGACAAGCATCTAAGTAGACTAACAAGGAATAAAAAAAAGCATATTTCTTTCAACTTAGACTCCAGTTCACAGGTGAATTTAAAATAAATCAGCATACCATAGTAGTTTTGCAGTATCATGTTTTTCAGGCACCCTACTTCAGACCATATGTGAGAGACATTACTTTTATTTTAAGGCTTTTTATTTTAGCTCTATGTATGCATATTTTGCCTGAATATATGTATATGCACCACATGCATGCTTGGTGCCCACAGAAGCCAGACATGTTGTTGGAGCCCCTGAAACTGGAGTTACAAACACTTGTAAGCTACCAAGTGGATGCTGGGAACAGATCCCAGGTACCCTGTAAGACCAGCCAGTGTTTTAACTGCTGAGCCTTCTCTCCAGCACCTGAGATTCAATAATTCTTTACCTAAATCCACGAAAGTAAGGGCCACACTACATTACTGCATCCTTTTCAACAATGCGGTGCTCAGTCTTCTTGTAATAAAACAGACAAAAATATTCACCCAAATAATTAATCATCATATGATTTATACAAAAGAGCTGAAGCATCAAAACATTCATCCAAAAGCTATTATTTAAAAAGCACAACCCTGCTACAAAAAATAAATACGTATGCTCATAAACAGCCATCACCAAGGTTCTTCAACTGATGCTCATTATAATAGGTAGATTCTAAAACAATACATAGTGTCTCCTGCCTTTGCCATGCAACTCTGACATGATATCTCGTAATTACACTGTTCTATATGCAAACATTAGATCACCTGGAGGGTTAACAAAACTAGGAGAGCCATTCAAAGCCAAGGAAACCAAGTCAGAAAGCTGCAGGCTGAGTGGTCTGAAAGACAGCAATGACATGCTGAGGACTATGCTATGCGACCATAAGGAATAACACAGTCTCAACCCGACAACTATCAGGAAAACGGGGACCACAGAACTGCACACACAATAAAACTAGTTTTGTGGACAAGTAATAGGACCTTGAGCTCCAGGTGAAAATTACCCCCAAGACAACAACCTGACTTCAGCCTGGTAAGATGCTGGGCAAAGAAACCCCAAGCCCCACCCAGACTTTCAGCCTATTGAAATTATGAAATAGCTTTCGCCTTTGTGGTACTATGTTACCCAAGAGCAGAAACCTAATATGTGCATTTTACTGAAACAGCTTCAGTCACTCTGATACCTGTGCAGAACTTAGAAAAAACAAACAAACAAACAAACAAAAACACTGCTGCAAGTACCAGTAACAAATTTGATACACTGTATCACATCCAGGTCAAAATAAGCAATGGTTGTCTTGACTGCTGTACTGAGTACCATCAACCATAACTTCGTAAGTACTCCAAAGCTTATGAACATGCCTCTCCATATATTTAAGTTTATATAAAATTTGTGCTGGTCTCCAGTACGGCCAGCCTGCTATCCACACCTTCTCTGCGTGTGTCTTCATCAAGGGAAGAAATGCATACTGAGTTTTCCACATAACACCAAGTTACTCTTCTAGACGGGTTTCGTGTTTCCAGTATTCAGGACACAGAACTTTGATCTGCCCATGTCTGTTGCCTCTGAGCACAACAGAAAGACGAGCTTGGGTCCTGCTGGACACCTGGAGTCACTCTGCTGCCATCGCACTCACTAGACAGTTCTCCTGGAGAGCCTGAATTAAAGAACTCTGGTTCAGAAAAGGACCCAGCAAGACGAAACAAGAGCAGTGTCCACTCCTTGCTGGAAGCTGGAAGTTCTAGCGGCTCTTAGCATAAGAGCATTGAGTGATGTGCACCCAGCAGGAGGAGGCCAGGAAGACAGATCGCATGCAGGTGCTACTGCCCTGCACACGCAGCTTCCTGTGAATCCCTCCATTACCTGTTAGCAAGTAAGAACCGTGGTTAAAGAGATAACCTCATAAACAAGAAGGCTCAAGGACAGAACCCTGGACTTCACAAGGGAGACATCTCTAGCCAATAAATAGTAACCCTTTTATCCATTTCCAACTATCATTCTCATCCCCACTGCATGCCTGGATTCTGGCTGATGTTATACCTCCCACTGAAAAAAATAGATTCCAGCTCACAGGACATAAGTGTCGGGGGTGGGTTGGAGAGAAGAATCAAAGAAGAAAGAACGAAATGGAGGCTAGGAAACATGCAGCTATTTGTCTGGAAAGCGGGGGACCTTTTTAAAACAACAGGAAGAATGTTCAGACAAGAGAATCAGTCTAACAGAGTTCCTCTGATGAAACTGCTGTTGCTTATTCGACCATCAGAAAGAAACATAATATTGTGTGTAAATCAAATGAGTTACTGAAAAAGCATGAGTTCAATATGATTTCAAATGACAAAGGTTGCTAAAGTAGAAATAGCAATTACAATAGAAAAGAATGAGTGCAATGCAACAGGACGACTCCCTACAGTTAGTCTTAACACAGACTATTGAACAACCAAGTAATGCTAGACCAAGAAGGAAGTTTACTGAAGATGTGGATGGCTGCTTAGGGCCTGGGCAGGTGCTGGGTGGTACCAGTGTAGAAACAAGAATAACATGGTCTGCTGCTCCAGAGATAACAGGCCAAGGCAATGCAACAGGGCAGGAT